GGGGGGATGCCGGGGCCCCGCGTGGCGCTGCCTGGTTGGAAGCCTGAGAGACCCCTGCCACTGTGGACAGGCTGCGCTCTAAGGCCTTCCCCTTCCCAAGTCCGCAGGCCCCTGACCTCCCGGCCCCACTGTTCCGCTCCAGACTCTCCCTGTCTTGCGTCCAGCACCCAGCCCACAGCCCCCGCCTGCCTCTCCAGGCAGGACACCCATTATGAGCGGCAAGGCAGGGAGCGGGGTGTCCCTGAGGGAGGGTCCCCGCTGAATGGGAAGGGCGGAAGGGGCTCTGGACCGGAGAGGCTGCCTGGGGACAACCCCGTGGCCCCACCTGGGCTCAGGACACCTGCAGGACCGCCTGGCCAGACTCCCTGGGGTCGGGGACAGAGGTGTCCCTGGAGAGCAAAAGCCCGGGGCTTCCTCCCCCAGCCCCTCCACACGTTTCCCTTGGGCCTGGGTCAGGCCCCAGAGCTCCCGGCGCCAGGGCCCCAGCTCCCCGCCTGATCCCCTGGGAGGAATGAGGGCGTTGTCATGGTGACTGACTTTCGCTGACCAGCTGGGAGGGGGCAGGCTGCCCATGTGAGAGGGAGGGGGCAGGACTTACTTTCCTGGGCACAGGGGTTGGGGTGAGTCCCTCAATCAAGGGGAAAGCTTGTGCAAAGGCTTCTGGGAAGAGGACAAATGGTGGATGAACGGCCAGTTCCCTGGTGTCCCCTTCTCCGTTTTTTCCTGAGAAACCAACTCTGAGCCAGCGGCCGTCCTGACCTTTCTCCTCCTCTCCACCATTCGTCCTTTCTCAGCCTCCCTGTCTCCTCTTCCCAGACATGAGTCTGACCAGAGTCAGACCGCCAGCTCTGGGTCCCAGCTCGCTCACTGAACTGTAGTGTAAGTGTCTCAACTCATGGGGCCTGAGTTTCCTGATCTGCAAAATGGACTGAGAGCATATTCTATCGAATCGAACGCACCATTGGCTGCGAGGCACACCATTACTTCATGCACCAGTAGGAAAGGAAGATGGGGCCCGTGGTGACAATGATGTCATCCATCACAGGCATCGCCCCAGCTCAGAAACACTGACCGTGTGAGGACGTGTGGGTTAGACATGGAGCGATCTGGCAGTGCCTGGCATGGCGGAGACTGGAGCGAGTGCTGTGTAAATGCAGCTCTTAGGATCACACCTGCTCCCCTGAAGCCTTTCCCCCCACGGCCCCCTCCTCCGATCTCGGGCTCCCGCCTCCTCACTGCCTTCACCCTGTCTTGCCCACAGAGATCCTGATCAAGGTGCAGGTGTATGTCAGTGGGGAGCTGGTGCCCCTGGCCCGGGCCTCCGTGGACGTGTTTGGGAACCGAACGCTGCTGGCGGCTGGCACCACAGACTCGGAGGGCGTGGCCACACTGCCCCTCAGTTACCGCTTGCGCACCTGGGTGCTGGTCACTGCCGCTCGCCCCGGCTTCCTCACCAACTCTGTGCCCTGGCGCGTTGACAAGCTCCCCTGTGAGTGCAGGGCAGGTGGAAAGGGCAGCAGCTGACCCTCCACAGGCCTCTTCCCAAAATAGCCTCCCTGGGAGCAGTGGGGCAGGCTTTCCAGCAGCTGCTGCGGGGCTGGGGTACCAGAGGGGCTGGGGGGAAGCTGCTGGGACTCGGAGGGAGGGGCGCCCGGCCTGGCAGGGCTTTCCCCAGAGCTGACAGCCACTCCCCTACAGTGTATGCATCTGTGAGTCTCTACCTGCTGCCAGAGCGGCCGGCCACCCTCATCCTCTATGAGGACCTTGTGCACATCCTTCTGGGCTCTCCAGGTAAGACTCCCCTCCCCACCCCACACCCGTGCCTCCTCCCTCCCCCAGCCTGGGTGTAGAGACCTCCACTCCTTCACACATTAGCTGGGTGTCCTTGGGCAAGTCACTTAACCTCTCTGAGCTACAATTTGTCCATTCATAAGATGCAGAAGGATAGCATCTGCACCCTCAAATTGAGGTGAGGATCGAAAAACATCAGCCATGCAAAAACCAGCACAGCAGGTGCTCAATAAACGTGTCCAGTCACCAGGGCTCCTCGTGGTCTGTTTTCCCACTCTTCCTGCCTCTGTGCAGCAGGTCTACACGAGTTTGTTGCGCCTGCGGGGTGCCTGGCTGCACTGGGAGGCCTCGAGAGGCCCCTCCGCGGGCACTGGACGCCTGTCAAGGGCGAGGCCCAAGCGCAGTGTGCGGTGGTCCTGCCTGCCCACAGGCTTGCAGCCTCACTGCCTGATGCTCGCTCCAGCCCCTCCGCCCTGCAGGGCGCATAGGCCAGTGGGTGCCACCCCCTGCTTGGTGGGGTTCACAGACAAGGAGGAAGCCCCCGGACTAGGGCAGGCGTGGGCAGCTCCAGCTGGCGGTGTAGCTTGGGAAGGCAGCAGTCAGACCCTGTGACTGCGGGAGGGGAGGAAGCAAAGGCACCTTCCCTGGAGAGGGAGGCTTGGGGGCATCAAGGTGCAGGGCCGCAGGAGGCACCAGGAGAGTGGGAGGTACTCCATCCGGCTAGTGCTGAGAGGCACAGCGATCCGGGTGCGGGGATAACCCCTCCCATTTATGTTCTCAGCTTGAGCTCTTGGCACCAAGAGACTGGTTTGCTCATCTTCATTACTATCACTCCGAACTAGAGGCTTTTAAAAAAAAAAATTTTTTTTTTTTTTTGAGGCAGGGTCTCATTCCGTTGCCCAGACTGGAGTGCCGTGGTGTGAGCTGAAGCCTCCAACTCCCGGGCTCAAACAATCCTCCCACCTCAGCCTCCCAAGTAGCTGGGACTACAGGCGTGTACCACCACGCCTGGAAAATTTTTAAAATTTTTATAGAGATGGGGTCTTGCTATGTTGTCCAGACTGGTCTAAAACTCCTGGCCTCAACTGATCCTCCAGCCTCGGCTCCCAAAGTGTGGGGATTACCGTGCCTGGCCTCCAAACCAGAGGCTTCTAAATTTCCCTGCAGCTTTCTAGAATACCAGTGAACTCTTTGTTGCCTCGAGCTTAAAGCCCTCGGTACAAAACCCAGGCCCTTCGCGGAGCTGACAGCACCCTCCCCACTCCAGTCACCGCCCTTGCAGTTCCTGGACAGCGCTGCCCTCTGGGTCCTTCTTGTGCCAGTGCTTGGGGAAGTCCCTTCTCATGGTCTTTCCTGGCCGAGTCTTACTCATCCTGCCAGACCCCGCAGGGCCTTTCCTGAGGTGGGCCTCCCATTTTTATAGCCAGGCAGGATGGAGCGTGGGTGTGATGACGGGCCCTGGCGCCAGACGGCCTTGGCCATCCTCCAGGCTCGAAGGTCGTGACCTTGGGCCAGTTATTGAACTTCTCCTGCCTCCACCTCTGCACCTGTGAAATGGGCTGATCCCCTTGGACTGTTGTCTAATTACATGGGTTAGCTCGGTCACCTGCTTAGAGCGGTGCCCGGCATGTCCTAACACTCCCTAAATGTCAGCTGTGACCATACTGCACTGGAATTCTGTGTATACGTCTGTCCCTTCCACCCCAACACGCACACATGACCTGTCTAATGCAGTACCCACCAGCTACATATGAAACTGAAATCATTTAAATTAAAACTTCATTAAATCCTTACAAGTTCAAGATAGGCCGGGCTCGGTGGCTCCGTCTGTCCTCCCAGCACTTTGGGAGGCCAAGGTGAGTGGATTGCCTGAGCCTGCGGGTTCGAGACCCACCCGGGCAACTTGGCGAGACCCTGTCTCTGCAATAAATCAAAAAGTGGCCGGGAGTGGTAGCACCCGCCTGTAGTTCCGGCTACTTGGAAGGCTGAGGCGGAAGGATCGCTGGAGCCCAGCAGGTCGAGGCTGCGGTGGCCGGGAGCGTGCCACTGCGCTCCAATCTGGGTGAGAGTGAGACTCCAACAGAAAAAAATAATAATAAAAAAGATAAATCCAGTTCCTGAGACACCATCCATATCTCAGGTGCTTGGCAACCATGTGTGTCTAGTGGGTCCTGTAAAAGACAGGGCCGCACTAAACTGTGAACTTGAAGGCAGGGTACTGTTTCTGGTTCATCTCTGCACTCAGTACCTAACCCTGCACCAGCTGTGCGGGGGGCAATGTTGAGGATCTGAGCGTCATGCAGATGTATAAGGAAATGCTGTTTCAGAGATGGCAGGTGACTTGCTGAGGGTCACACAGAAGTTTCAGACCACATCTCTTCCAGGCTGACACCCTGTGACTCCCCAGGTCTCTCCCCAAGGCCTTCCCAAGTGGTCTGACCCAGTGACTCCCCTTCCTAGACACTGGCACTCTGCTCTGGTCCCTGGGGAACCTTGTCCCTGGCCGGCCACTGCAGCCCTCTCTCCTTCCAGGCGCCCGCTCCCAGCCCTGGGTACAGTTTCAGCGCCGGGCTGCCCGTCTGCCCGTCAGCTCCTCCTACAGCCAGCTCTGGGCCTCGCTGACGCCCGCCAGCACCCAGCAGGAGATGCGGGCGTTCCCGGCCTTCCTGGGCACCGAGGCCTCTGGCTCAGGTACCCCGGGCGCCCGGCGTGGAATGGGCCTCCCCGCTCCCGCCCCGGGATGGCCCTCAGCCCTCGTGTCCTTCCCTCAGGCAATGGCTCCTGGCTGGAGCTGATGCCCCTGGCCGCTGTGAGCGTGCACCTGCTGACAGGGAACGGGACCGAGGTGCCGCTCTCCGGCCCCATCCACCTGTCCCTGCCCGTGCCCTCGGAGACTCGTGCCCTCGCCGTGGGCACCAGCATTCCAGCCTGGAGGTTCGACCCCAAGACTGGTAAGCGCCCGAGGGATGCGGCTGCTGGAGGTAGGGAGGGGATGGGGCTGCCGTGGCGGGGGCCGCTGAGCTTGGCGGGGCCCCTGCCTCCCCAGGGCTGTGGGTCCGCAACGGCACCGGCGTGATTCGGAAGGAAGGCCGGCAGTTCTACTGGACCTTCGTCTCCCCCCAGCTGGGCTACTGGGTGGCCGCCATGGCCTCCCCGACGGCCGGTGAGAGCGTGGGGGGCGGGCAGAGCAAGCTGGAGGGCGGCTCCTTAAGGGCGGAAGGGCCTCTGCGTCCGGACGCTGAGCCCTCGCCTGGCACAGGGCTGGTCACCATCACGTCGGGCATCCAAGACATCGGCACCTACCACACCATCTTCCTGCTCACCATCCTGGCGGCCCTGGCCCTCTTGGTGCTCATCCTGCTGTGTCTGCTTATCTACTACTGCCGGTGAGCGCCGCCCCGCCCACGCC